TTCACATATGTAGATATTTATATATTTATGTACATTCAGCGTCGGAAGACGTAAGCCTTGACTTGAACATTTAAATCGGTTTCGCATAGTTATTACCAGCTCATAAGTTTCGTCTTACCAGTAAGTCTTGACGCTAATGCTTTGCGTACATATGTACATACATACCTATTTACATACATACATGCATAGATTTTTGAAACTTTCTTTGCTGATGGCTTTTTTCCATACAAACATGAATTTGAAGAAAATGCGCAATCCAAATTCAAAGTTCAAGTTGATGAATAATTATTGAATTTTTCTAAAGTTTGTATTCATTTTGTAAGTTAGATTGATGTATGTGTATATGTTTTGGTTAAAGCATGAAAAATATGTTTATAAAAAAAATAACACAAAAATTAACTTGCAAAACATTGTAGATTATTAAAATTCACCATGCACTCACTTTTGCTCACCAGTGTGTGTATGTATATAAAAAATATACGTACGCATACATATATGTATGTATATGTATATATATTCAGCCTTAAAAAAATGCACCTCCCTGGGGTACGTCTGGCAACCCCAAAAAATAAAAACAAAAAAAAAAACATTCGTTAGCTGCGTGGAAATAGTTGCAAATGCAATTAATTTATAGTTACACATTTATTAAGTACACAAACAAACATACATACACATATACTCTTATATATATGTACATATGTAAGTGCTTTTACAATGAATGCAAAATACAATTCAATTGGGGAAAAGAATACGAATTTCACAACAAATTAAAAGTGTATGTAACAATTAATAATTTAAGGCCGCTGCTTTGTTCCATAGGCAACTCAGAGAGTCTTCCATGATCCTCACAGCTATTGCACGATGCCATCGCAGAGAAAACTTAATACACAACCCAGCCAGCAAAATAACTAAGGTTTCGTCAGTTAAATTGTTTAACTCACATAGAACTTAAAGAAGATTTATGGCAAGTATGTATGTAGTGTGAATTGAAGAATTGAACCGATATGCACAAGTATTACATTCTCGATACTTTTCTTTCTATATCTAGAAAGGAAGTCTTGAGAAGATATCGAAATAAATACTCGTGCTTCAAAAACAGTTTCTCTCTCAGTCTACTGTTTGATTTACTGCGTTTTCTGCTATGTATCCAACACATATGCCAATTTAAGCCGTAAAACAAACTGCTATTATCTACTTGGTTATGAGAAAGTTTTGCGGAGTCAATGACTTTTCGAAGATTGTAAATTTGGCAAATGGTTTGATGTAAGCGGCCAAATCGGTGGCTTTTCGTTATTAGTTCCGAAAAAAGAAAAAAAAAATGTACAAACAGAAAAAAATTAATTTTATTCGAAAATTGTGTTAAATGGTGAGAAGAAATAACACGAAACGAAACAAGCGCCGGTTTCTTAAAAGTGTATTGCCTTTAGAATTACCTGAACGCCTACGTTACAGAAATAATTTCTTTTTTCTGCTGGTAGGGAATGGAAATCCTGTATTTCTGCCATGAACATGCTTCTCATAACACCCATTTGTCACTCGGAGGCAGCGTAAAATTGTGGGTGCCTTCAGTTGTGATATACTTCAAGACGAACACCACAAATCGTAGAAAAAGCACGTCCAAACAGTTAGCTGAAATGAAAGCGCCAAATATTTTATTTTGGAGTTATTTATAAAAATTATAAAAGATTTCAGCTGTTAATGAAATCCAGAGTTGAAAATTTGAAAAAGCACTAAAACCCAAGAAAAATCTCGAAAGCACCAAGTTTTTATTTTATTGAAGCATTTAATGGACTTTGTATGGCTTTTTTTTGCTGGGATGCTGATTCAAACTAATAAAGTACAATCGGCCCTATTATGGTTGTCGACCTCGATGTCATTTTTTCATTCAAACATAGCCCTCTTAAGTCCAACTGCAGTTACTCTGACCACAATATTTTTGCGAGGAACACCTTTCCGCGTAAATACTGTGGTCAGCGTAGCTGGAGTTAGCCTTAAGAGGGCTATTTTTGAATGAAAAAATTACATCGAGGTCGACGTCGACAACTATAATAGGACCGAATGTTTCTTGCTCGAGTGTCGAATTTATTCTGTTTTCTATAAATTCACATATTTTCGTCCAAGCGACGTTAATATTCTTGTTCTTATTTTCCAATTTACAGCAGTGTCCGGCGTTGCAAAAACAAAAAATGAAGTAAAGCACTTTTCTTTTCGGCCGCTTGACATTTGAAATATGACGAAATTTTAGTTCCCTTTCTAATATTTTTGTGTCAAAAAAGCTGCCGAATGTAATTCTGGCGTAATTGAAAGTGCTGCACATATTTTGTTAGCAAATGGCAAAGTTGCTTACAAAACATACGATTGCCAAAAATTTTGCTTCCATTTTTTTAAGATTTACAAACTAAAAAATTCCACCAAAACAGGCATCAAGCACCAAAACCAAAAATTTTCGCGTTTTGTATAAAGAAAAGCATTAAATTTATTGCGAAAAGCACCAAGTTGCCAACAGTGGGAAAATCATTAAGAATTTCTGGCAGTTCTGAACCTACCCCAACACAATCTTACCAGTTGAGAGCAAAAATGTTTGTAGGGCATAAGCGCAAAACTAAGAGAAAATACAATGAATAAAGAATATCGGGGTTTTTGCACTCTTGCAAACGCTCTCCAAACAGAAAATTTGTTCTCTGGTCCATGGTGTATGTGCCTATGTGTGTGAACAATTTAATCATCGCTTTTTAGTGGCCAACTAGAGAGGCCAGAGTTTCAGTTCACTTTGTGCGCGTGCTGCGCTCTGTTGTTTAGTAGAGCTTCGTTGGCGCTTTACTAAAATTATTTGTTAGCTTCGGGCCAGGCCTGACAGAACGGGCACACAAAGGAGTCGAAAATCTATTCACGCTTTTCATACAGACAAGCAGTCGAAAAAGAAAAATAATAAAGAACAGTGGACGCGTTTATTTGTACTACCTGTCTAAATACATACATACATACATATATGTACGCTAATATACCTACATATGTACGTACGTATATATGCACATTCCTGAATAGCAATTTGTGATATGTATTCTTAATTAATGGTGCTTTTCCTGATTCTGACACAATTATTGGCACAATATATCAACTATCGATTATTTGATAAAAAAAAAAGAAACAGTCGACCTTTTTTCCTATTAATGAAAGTGATAACTGCAATATAATACATATTACAACAACAAGGCAAAATAATTCTACGGGCGTGTGAAAGAAGTGAAACTCGTTAAAGTGACTGTGAAAATATTACTAATTCTAACTGTAAATCAATTCTAGTAGTAAATACTAGCATATAATGAACCGGACTAGAAAAAAGATTGAACGCCCAATAAATCCATATACAACGGTAAATTTTCTCTCGCGCTGGAGTTTCTGGTAAGAATTAAGAGCTAAAATTGTTTTTTTTTTTAATAAGGAACTTTTTTCTGCAAAATACTGGTTTTAAAGCGAGAAAAACGAAATATGTATTTTGATTCATATAAACATTTTGTCTGAAAAGACGGGGTTTGTTTTCAATATTTTGCGAAAGTGCATAAGTACTTCTTACATACATATCTACATACACTCTAATGTGCCTACATGCATACATATAAAGAAATATCACACACGATCTTCAAAAGTGACACAATTCAAAATTTGGCATTTTTGAAACTATGCGCTAAAAATGTAGACAGAGGTTTTATTTACCTTTTAGGAAAAGCTGGAGCAAATTTTTGTCATATTTTGTTAAAAAAACCTAAAAGTGAAGTATGATTAACATGTGAGAAATAGTTATTTGCATTTTCTGACAAATGTGTAATTTTGAGTTGTGTCCCCTTTGAAGATTGTGCGCGATGTCTGTATGTGTTTATGATCAGTGTGACCAGGTTACCTTCTGCAGCTTTTAGCAGTTACTTGGTATTATTTATTAAAACTTCAAAAATTAAAAGAAAAAATAAATTGTATTATGAGACAGTGAAGATATCCTTCAGCAAACCAAACATAAGTTTAATTAGTTTAAAAGTTTGATTCTGCTTCCAAAAATCTCTATAATTTTGGAATGCGTTGAGGTTTAATAGATTTTTTCAACTGTTTCATCTAGAAACCGACTGCAGTTAAAATACGACTGAGTCAAATGAGACCAGTTAAATTACGAAAAACTTTCAATTTTTTGCTGGTGAAAACTTTCTGGCGTACCGTTATCCAATTCTCAATGGAGTGGAAAAAATAGTATCCACAAACACAATACGTTCGTTCAACTGCGGCTATGAATTATTTAGTAATGCGGAGGAGTAGCGTCTTTAGTACAGTGATTTGACTAAAAACCGAAACTAATAATAATTTAAAAATTGTATTAAAAAAATATCGGTTTAAGAATTTGTGATAGAAATTTGTATTTGTTTTGGAGCGGTTTTATATGAAATTTTTTTTTCTTGAGAACTGGATACTAGTTAAGCTTTAAAATTAAATAAAAGGCTGAACTTGTTTCTGATATTAAAAATATTTGTTTTAGCATTTTCCAACATTTTTATTTTCGGAGCTTGGTAACGATGTACATGAGTGAACCATTGTGCACTTTGTGGGAGATTAAGGTATTCACGAATGCCAAAGATATATTTTTTGAAAGTTATGGAATTTTGACTAGTATTAGCCGTCATCGATTCGCCATCAGTTAGCAAGTGACGAAACGAAGGAACTCAATGAGGTACAACCAAACTTGCTATTGTCTATCCGTGCTAGCTAACTTTGTTGTTGCTTTCACATGCAAAATTTTTCGGTAAGCGACCGGAACTCAAACATAGCACGCAACGTATTGGCGAATCGATGACGGCTATTATTTATTATATCTATATCGCACGTTTAATAATAAAAAGATGTAACTCAAAGTTTACGTTTTTGGAGATTTCATTTTGTGATTAATAAGCTTGATAAGTAGAATATGTTCGGTCTACCAGATACCAAACTTTCCAAATATGGTGAAGATATGTACATATGTCTTTCCATCTGTCTTTTTGTACACCAACTGTATGAATTGATAAAACTTTGATTGCGTTTTCCCAAAAAATTTAAATTTTTAAATATGTTCCTCGTTATATTATGAAGCGTGCGATATGTATAAGTATACATATGTTCAAATGTATATGTACATAAGTATGTGTATACTTACATACATATGTATGTAATGCCGCCTGTCAACTAATCAATTAATTACACCACGCAACAAAAACAAAAAAAAAATTTGAAACACATAAAGCAATCAATATACTCTCGAAACTGTGGGACAAATATAGTAAAACTGCGTTTTTAGTTTTTCTCTTAGTTGTCAGGATTTTTTTAAAAAGGCTTTGCATTTTCAAAGTTATGATTAACTCCAAAAATTATTAAAAAAAATTCATTCCAATGTAGAAAAACAGTGTGGATACCAAAATGAAAGAAAAAATTCTGTAGAATTAAAAAAAATAATTAGAGTTTTTTGGTTCACAAGAGCGAATGGGTATTGAAAATGCCCTTTTAATTAGATTGTTTTTTAAGCTAATGAAGTTAGAAGGACGAAATTCGAGGATGTGATCGATTGCATATATTCCTTAACATATATGTATTTTTTTCGAAAATAATTATTGTAAAATTTCAAGGATATTCAAGGATAAAATGTTAAAAGAACATTTTCAATACCTAATCGTCCTTATGCACCTAAAAATTTAATCGGCCTTAATTTTACAGAATTTTCTCTTTAATTTAATAGGCACACTGTTTTTCAGCATTTCACTGTATTTTTAAAATAATTTTTTGTATTTTTCAAATTTCAAAGTCCTTTAATAAAAATCCTGACTTCAGAGAGGAAAACTAAATACACAGTTTTACTATATTTGGCCCATGGTTCCGCGAATATATAAAATTTTGTGTGTGTAAAATTTACTGTCGCACAGTGTTATATCATTTTCAATATTCAGTGCGCAAATCTGTACATATGTAAATGTATGTATGTACTTATGTACATGTATGTTCAAAGCAAGGCTTACAATTCGTGCTTTTAATTGAGGATGGGTAATAGGTTTTACATTTCTTCTTTTTAACCGACTTCCAAAAAAGGAGGAGGTTATCAATTCGTCGTATGCTTTTTTTTAATGCACGTTATTCTTTTTTTAAAGGGAAGGAGGTTCCTCAGAGGTGGTACCATGGTTTAGATGCGATAATTGGATCATGAAGAGACTAACGATACTCTTAAATTTGTATATGAGAATTTAAGTCCCTTTTGTTTTTTGCTTAAAAATTACTTGTTATTCATTATTTTGCTTTGAATAAAAATGTACTGAAATGTATTGATTTTTTTAGCATGAACTGATTTCGCGCATAAAAAATCTGGCAACCCTACCAAAGTAACTCATTAGCTCTATGAAACCAGATTTAAGCCTATCTTGTTTCACGGAATCCTTGTCTGGTGGAACTCACTAAAGACGACTATACTTGTAAAACAACTGGAGCGTTTAGAGAGGATCACACTAATCGGAATTGGTGGAGCGCATTAGGAACCACATCTACACTGGCGCGTAACGTCATGTTGAACACGGAGCCTGCGGATATTGCATACCGAATTGTCGCAGCTTAGGCTTCCCTGAACACATAGATTACAGTGCCTCCGAAATGACCCCCGGAGGCTCCTTCTTTACCTATATTCCATCAAGATAGGGCGGTAAACTTCTTTACGGACAGATCAAAACTTGCAGATAGGGTTGGTGGAGGTTTCTTCTGTCGGAAACTTTGCACCAAAACTATGTTTAGACTTCTGCAGTGTCTATTAGGTAGAAATAGCTGCCCCGGTAGACTCACTGTTAAAGGGTTTGATGGTGCGCTCGAAAACGGTAAAGGAATGTCTGACCTCTCTAGCATTGGCGCCGGAGTACATCATAATAAGGCTAGTTTAGGTGCCGGGTCACAATGGCATCGCCGAAAACTGCGTGGCTGATGACCTAATGTTGGAAAGTAAGTAACCCTTAAAACATTATCCTCAAATAAGAGGCAACTAGGGACGCCTCTGTTAGTGATGGCGGTTTTGATAGGCCATTGTGCGATTGGTATTCACGCGGTAAGACTAGGAATTTCAACTGATCTCTTTTGTATCAGATATCAAGAGCAAGATGAGGTGGAATCATCCCTACACTTTCTTTTAGACTGTCCAACCTTCGCGAGGCTAAGATAAAAGCATTTTGGCTCGCGCTTCTAAACAAACACTGAGATCTCAGGGATCGAAATTAGCGGCATTCGAAATTTGGAAATGGGCTCGTGGCGTTTCGCCGACTAAATTAAATGTCTCCATTCACATTTTTCGTGGTATCACAAAGGACAATCTCTTAATTGTCCAAGCGGATACGAATGCGGATGTCAAGTATTTTTAAGAAACAATTAGAATCTAAAGTGTTTTAAAAAGAATTCTTCATTATCATTCCTTTGGCTGTTTCAGAATTTGCGGAATCTGTAACTTCCTCAGCGTTTTTCGATTTCAGTTTTTGTAATTCATTTTTAATACTTTCTTCTGACCCTGCTTGGAAAAATGTTTGCTCATAGCAAGCTAAATAGGTGGATATGGAAAATGAATTATTATTTTCCAGGAATTAAAATTTTGAACAAAATTCTGTATTTTTTTAAATTACTTGAGCATCGATTCTCTTTATTGCCAGACATTGATCATTTCTGCGGGACAGTTTTACCACAGAAGTTTTTAGCCAAGGATCCAATGTATATCCCTATGAAAAAAACATTGCCCGATAAGTAAACAAAATTACTGTTTTTAAAGTTTTTGCTAAAAATAAATTCCCCGAAGAGCCTCTTTTGAAATTATTGAAACGAATATATGTAACATCAAAAGCAAATCACGAAAATTTGATTAATAATTACAGTCTCTTTTGTGTCTAGTAGTTTTTTTTTTTAAATTGGTTAAAAAAAATCATAATAAAGAAACCCAATGCAGGTATTTAAAGCACAGAAAAAAAATATTGTCAAAAAGACTATGTTCTTTTTGACGTACGTCAAACGTCAAGTAGAAGTTGGAACTTGTATGATTGATACCTCGCTTATATAGCTTAAGAAATAATATGTTTAAAGACATTTTTATCAAAGTTGATAAATATGACATTTGACAAGTTTTGTTACACAAATACTCCCACGACCACTTGCAAAAGTATTGGTTACAATTTCTCATTTTGTTTGCCATAGTATATACGTTTTATCGGTGCACTTGCACAACATTCGCATTTGTAAAAGCTTCGCATTGATTATTGCGAATGCGAATGTTAAAATTAATGCGGAAGCTCCGCGGTTGCGAATGCGAATATTCGCAACAACCCTGGCACATGCATTTGTAAGTACTACATCTCATTTATTAAAAACATCAATGTGAT